ACAGGAATTACTATTGGAAAGTATTCACAGCAGCAGTTTCGTCTTCAGCAGTCATTCCTGGAACAGGGGCGGTCCATCGTGTCCAGGCAGATGGAGATGAGCGCCAGTGCCTTCAAGAGGCACAGCTATGCAGAAGGAACCCAGGAAACCTACGCGTCTTCAAGACAGTTTATGCAGCAAAGAGTCATGAACAATCTGGACGAGACAGACTTCCACAGGTAGGAAAACCTTTAAAACCTCCTGCTGTGATCAGAATAATGCAGAATTATCACATGGACCATAAACATAAAATGTATGGTTTATTATTAAGTTATTAAGCAATAAACAATATGTGCTGCACTTTCGTTACAGAGAACAGATTCAAAGCAGCCATTTTTACAGTGAAGGGCCCGGGCCAGGTTCTGGCCACGGACACTTCGACAGACTTCGAGGCCGTCCTCCGCACCTCTCCATTGACCAGTATTCAGACTCAAGTTATCGCTCAGACCAGGAGCCTCCACCTGGGCAGTATGGCAGAGACTACTTTTCATCTGAGGACCTGAGAGGACCCGAGGGCCACAACGCCCCTCCGTTAGCTGGGAGGTATGGGGGAGGATCTTCCCATAAGAGGCCAACCATAGGACAGGCGTATGCTTGTCAGAGCTCACCAACACACCCCCACCCACCTGAGAAGAAACACTTTAACAAACAATTTGATCAAGAGCATGAGGAGGACTCAAGTGCAAAGCAAGGCCTGAGAAGCTGGAGAATCCACTCCTATCTAAATACTTATGAGGACACTGGAGAAGAAGGCCTGGCTCAGCCTATGGGTCCTGATGCTTTTGATGAACCTTCTCAAGCTGTGCAACCAACTGAAACTGAAAGTTCAGCTCCACGCTATGGAATAAAAGAGCCACCAAATGTTCCTCCCAAGCCCAGACCTGATATCCTGAGGCCACGTTTTGGAAAGCCTAAACTACCTGAGAGCAGCAATAAAGACTCTGGCCTACCAACGTCCAAGGATCTACTTCCTTCCCGCCTTATACTGGACAGAAAAGAGAGGGAGGAGGAGAAGGAAAGAGAGCCAGAGAGGAGTACAGCAAGGGAGGGGGGCACAGATGTGGAGGCGAAAGGTGGTCCAGAACTCCTTCTATCCAAACACGAGTCATTCCGGTCGCGTGTTAACCCGCTCCTTCAGCGCAGCTCTCGACTGCGCTCCTCACTTATATTCTCATCTTCTAAAGCAGAGATACACAGTGGTAGCTTAGGTCTAAAACCAGCGACGGAAGAAGATGAGGAGTTAGATTCAGTGCGCACTTCATCCATTGTGGCCCAGATCCTAGAAAAGAGGAGGTCATTATCTCGTGAGCCTTTCGATTGGCGAAGGAAGACCGAGGAGAAGAAGGAGAAAGAAGAAAAACAGGAGAAGCTAGAGAAAAAGGAGATACGGTTAAAAGATGAGATTAAACCTAAAGAGGAACCTAAAGAAACTAATGAAAAAGTAAAGACAACATTTACACTTGAAAAACCTAAAGTCACAGATTCATCATCTCTGAACATGAATGATCCGGCCAGCCGTTTGCAGTACTTCAAAGACCTAGCTGCCAAGACAAAAGTCTCGAAAACAGAGACAGAGCCATCGCTAAAAGCCTTAGAGCCCGCTGAAAAAAGGCAAGATCTTTCTGATAAACCTCCCAACATTACAACAACTTTGAAGACCCCAGCTGTCACACTCAGTACAGCAGAGCCTGAGCAGACAAAACCAGACATCTCAGCGAAACTGGCTGAGCTCAATAATCGCAGACCTTCAGTCAGTTCATCAAGGCCACCACTAATCTTTCCCAAGCCTTTTATAAGCTCACAGAAGCCTTCAGAGATCGTGCAGTCTCAGAAAGAGGAGAATGCATCAGAAGGTCAAAAGAAAGATCTATTCAAGTCTCTAAAGCCTCTGCATTCACCTAAGATCTTCAAGAAGGAGCCGGTGAAACTTAAAGGGATAAATCCTCGTCGCATCTCCTGCGGGGAGGAAATTTTGACCACAGATGCTACAGACGCAGAGAAGACTGAAATGAAAAAGAGTCGCTCTCACAGTTCTTCAATTCTGTCACATGAAGACTCTAAGGAAGGGCTGCAAAGGGTTATGGGCTCTACCACGTCCATCAATACAATTGGTGAGGGAAAGGGTGAGGGTAAGACACTTGACTTCCTAAAGAAACAGACTCAGAGGCTAAAGGGATTCCTGGGACCCAAGGACAAAGAAAAGAAAACCTCGGGAGAGGATAGGGGCATGAGCACCGTCATAGAGGTCACTGACAATTCGAGCAAAAAACAGAGCTCATCGTCTAAAGATACAGCGTCTACGGCTGCTGATCAATCCACCACCAATCATAAAACATCAACAACCGGAACATCTGTCACATCCCGATACCAGCCCGCGGGCGGCTCTGTTCTGTACAGCAGCAACTTACGAGACGACACCAAAGTCATTCTGGAGCAAATCTCCGCCAACAGCCAAAAGAACCGCCAGGAGCGGGAGGAGACGGGAGGGAACAAAGATGGAGATGCTGGAGATAAAGGAACGGAGAAACAGAACTCCTTAAAAAGGAACAGATTTCTGCGACCGCAGGGCAACAACCAGGAGCGGGAGGGACTGCTGAGGAGGATAGAGAGCCTGAGGAAGGAGAAGAAGGTCTACAGCCGTTTTGAGGTAGTCTATCACAGTAAGGGAGATGTTTGCAGCGTAGATGGGAAAGCAATATGAGGAAAAACAACAACACAAAAATGTTTAGGTGTAAACCACCAAGAGGGGAGGGAAAGGAATCCAAGAGGGGAACCAGGGTTTTAGCTTAAAAATGATATATTTTGAAATGTTTAAAAATAGTGTTTGTTCTCAAAAAGCAGCAGATGAATGTTATAAATTAGCTTTTGAGCAGTGACTGGCTAAATGTGATTGTCTTATATGTACAGTAAGAGACTGGCAAAACCACAGTTCATCACTGTTATGGATTTTTATACTACTTTAAAGAGAATCTGCTTTCAGAAAAAATAATTAACAGATTAAGCTGAACAAATGCAAGTGTGATTATGGCGCAAAGAGCACGGTACGTCCTGCTGAAGGCCAGCGAGGAGGAAAGGCAGGAGGTAAAGAGATTTCACTGTTATCCCTGTTGTTCTGTTAACAGATGGGGAATAACCTGGGATAACGAAAGATGGAGGAGCGACCTTTTACACGGAAACTTATTTAATGCAAGACTATCAAAAAACCTCCACTGTCCACGTTTGTGCCAACGACACTGTGAGAGTTCCTCTGGGCCTTAACACTACAGCGTTTTCTGGATTTTCCACAAGAAGTAATAAAACTTTAAAGGACGACTTATAAAATGGTGAAAACAAACTAAAGTCATTGAGTCTGGAATGTGCGTTTTTGCCAAGACCTTGTTCTATTTTTTTTGCCTTATATGGTGACTGAGAGAAACAAGACTCTACTTGGATACTGGCTTAATGGGCCGGTACGTGTCTCAAAAAAAAACAACAGAAAGGTAGCACAGGTTTACCTGTAAATGAGCTTTTGTGAACAGGACTAAAAGACAAAAAGGGAAATGTTGCATCTGAGAATCAAAAACATATAATGTGCCAGTCACAAAACACGGCACACGTGTAGTACCAGTGTTGTGTGCAGGCCACTTTGTAGCTGGAGCTTGCTTGAAACTGAATGGGAGAAAGTGTCTTTGTGGATTCACCATGTGCCAGTGGCCCATTGAGGGTTTTGCCAAAGTTCTGGTGGGGGGTCATTATTATTATTATTATTATTATTAACCTGGACAAATAACCAAAACATAGGAATAAAAAGACAGCTGATGAAGAGTAAAGGGTAGAGAAGAGTGAGATCAGAGGGTAGAGTCAGTGAGATTTTATAGAGTGTGAAAAGTATGGGAGGAAAAAACTGAATCAGAAGGTGAAAATGATGGGGGACTACAGTTTGGATGGATGGTAGCGGCTGTGGTGAACGTAACACACTCGACTTCTTTCTAATAAGTCATATACCCACTTCTCAGGGTTGAAAATAAAGAAATAACAATTCCTAGGAGACCTAGACGCTTCCATGGAAAGGGGAGTGGTGTTTATGTATATTAGTGTTCGCCTCATGTAGCGTAAATAAATATGCAAGATTTCCAGTTGGCCTGAATCAGAGTAAATAATAAAACAAAAAACTGACCTCCGTTTTCCTTCTTGAAAACCAAGAATTACCTCTGCAAGAAGGTATACAAGGAAGAACGGGTATATTACACAGTACTGGAGCAGCACCACGCTTCCTTACATAACTCATTTAACTCCTGAGACCTACGCCCTGCACAGGATTCCTAACTCCTTTGTTGGTCGGCACAAACTATTAAACCAAAGACTTACTGGCCCCGTGCTGCCTGATAGCTCGACAGGGCATCAAACCACTTACGGTTCACTGTGTTTTTGCTGAGTACGTCAAAAAAGTATATGTTGTATGGCTGTAAAGACACTTCTGGGTGAGGGTGGGGTGACACTTGTTTTCTACACAGGATTATGCTGTAAATGTTTATGTTTAAAAAAAGGGGGATTGTTTATATTTTAAGTGATGAACTAGATTGTGATCGCCCTCACTGCGCTCTGAACGTGCCTTGTGTTTATTTTGGATTATTTTAATTGAAATGTGAGAATGTGGTTTGTCTGTAAAATAGAAAAAAGAAGTAAAAAAAAAAAAGCAATTGGCATTAATTCGGGGAAGTCATTGTTGCACAGGTTTAATGTGTTCTTTTTTAAACCTCAGATAGTATTACATTTTGTTTGAAATACTGCAACAAAGTCTTGCATTAAATCTCTTTTAAAATTGAACGCGACTGTGTCTCTGTGCATAAACATGAATGAATATATATATATATATATATATATATATATATATGTGTGTGTGTGTGTACACAACAGGTGTGCATGTAAACTGCAGGGAAGGGTTGTGCTACTTCTAGGATTTCAGAGTGATGAAAACAATGTTACAACAATTCAAACAGGCTTTATAGTTTTTAAATATATGAACACAATAAATAACCTAGTATCAAACAGATGACAGTATATAGCATGTCTCTATGTGAAAAACACTAAGAGATCAACCAGAATTTATCCGTACAGAACATATATTATATGATATGAGAAAAAACATCAGAAATACCCAGAATTCAAATTTACTCCTGAGTCTCTGCAGCTGCTTCCTGAGCCTGCTTCTGGTTCTTTATCTTTTCCAGCTCCTCATCGAGGTTGTGCAGCTGAGTGAGCTTTAGTTTTTCTGTCAAAACACAGAACAAATTCAGTGACAGTGCTGGAAAGTGAAAACAAACGCTGTATTCACACACATACAACATTTGTGCTGAGAGAAGAGTGTGCGGAGATGCTTACCAGCTGCCAACAGCTGGCTCTTTGTATTCTCAACACTCTTTAATTCATCTGGGAGTCTCTCTGGAGTCTGAGTAAAGTCATAATAATAATATAATAATAAAGTCACATTTGAATCTTCTCACAAGAGTTGTGGAGAGAATTTAACACAAACACTTACAAAGACATAGTGCAGATTTTTGTGCTGGTCAATCAGTTGATGAAGCAGGTTTTCAAATCTCATCCTGCAGAAACATGAGTTTCTAAATGTGTAACAACAGCCAGAGGTTTTTCACAGAAAACGAGTCGTTGCACTATTAAACAGTACCGCAGTTTCCGGTGTTTAAGCTTGACATCTTGCATTTCATATCTATACTGCTCCAGCAGCTCCTCAGTTTTCTTATTCAGTTGTAAATGTCTGAAACACACACACACAGCAGTATCGGGCTGTACAACATTTTCTAACTATATAAAGATATAAAATAAAAATTTTAAAAAAGTATCCAGGATGTTAAAAAAAGACAGATTACTGCCATCTAGTGTTCAACATCAAAAAACACCAATGAAGCCCATTGATGGTTCAGCAAAGAATGCTCCTTATGACTGAGCAGATCCAGTAAATCTCTTCAAACTTTCAGCACGGAGCTCACCTGGTAGCGTCCTGCTCAGACTCTTCACACTGAAACTGCAGCTTATTGCACACCTCTGAAGAAACAGATGAGCAACTATGTTCATCAGTGGGCTCACATTTAATGCCTGGACAATTATAAATGATGAACTATACGTGTACAACTGTTTGCCACTAGCACTTGCATACCTTCCTTTTCTTTGTGGATTGCCTCCAGTTGGAAGACTTTAGTTTGTACTGTGAATCAAGGACAGTATCTCAGCTGCTGGTTTAGTAAAGACTGTGTGAAGATCATTAACTTTGTGTCTTACAGTTTTCCAGCTCCTTCTCCAGTGAGTCACTGACTGACTTTATCTTCTCAATTTCTTCTTCCAGGGCTCTTTTACCTTAAATTGAGAACAACAGTGCCTTATACACACACAGCACAACAACATTACAAAACACAGGTCTCCAAACAAACAACACAAAGACAAGATAAACTTTACAAAATACTAAAATTATATTTCACAGGTTAATCAGAATGGCTCTTAAAGGGTGTTGCTGTTCCCCAAAAGAGGGAGATACTAATCATATCTCATAGCTCTCCATTCATCATATTCTGCAACTCCATAAATGGAGTAACAGGTAAGGATATACCTCACTGACGATACCCAACCATAGTTCACAGAGACATTATCAACAACGCACATGCATGCTTTACTCACGGTTTTAAATTTCTGTGTAAATATTTAGCACTTACATTCTGCCTATAGCGCTATAAACAGCACGGATGTTATGTAAATTTGTAAAGAAATTGAGCTATATTCTATAATATTTCTATTAAAGTAAACAAGGGAGCGCGTGTTCATTAGCATATCGCTATATACTGCGCTCTCATTGGTGCGCATAAATAACGTTTCTATCCCTCCGTAAGAAAATTGTTAACGTGTTTTTCACGTTGTATGCGTGTCTCATCACTTGAGGAAACGTGAAAACGTTACAAATTCGCATGCTATCGCGATTTTTGTCTAATATAAGGAAAATTATACGGGGCTTGCTACCGGAAGCGGAACACGTGACCACCTCCCATTTGGATAGAGACACATTATGAGCTGACAGACGGACTGCTTTGTACTAAACACATACTACTTAGTTAGATGCTTAGTGCTCCTACAGATCAAGCGAATAAGCGCATTATTCGACAGATAAAAATGACGCCAACGGCGGATTTATTAGTTATCTACAGGCCTTTGTATAACGACACGCATGCGCGTCGCTATCGCAGGTCAACACGAGACGGAAAGACACGACAACGAGTTCGCTTGCTTTACACGAATCCTTTGATTAAGCCAAATTTACTGCAAACACAGCAAAACCAGGCCCACAAGGCTTCCGATAAAACTCAGAGTTGTTTATCATTATTATTATTTATTATTAGTAGTAGTAGTAGTAGTATCATCATTATTATTATAGGTGAAACATTGTTCGTCTCCCTAAAAAATCGTCTGAAAAAACCGGGGAGAAAAGGATCACCGGCAGATGCCGCTATTTAGTCTGAACAGTCTTACCGTAAACGTTATATATCTGCCGCCCTGTTAAGTAATATATTTAGCAGCTATTCAAAAAACATCTGATAGAACAGATCAATCATACATTACCCTGTTTAAGCTTCCCGAGTTTTCCGATCAGCTGTTCAACCTTTGGCTCGTGCATTTGTCCACCTGAAGTGCACGGAACCGTATCAGGCTCGAGGTTTTGAAGTTTATCAGTGTGCAGTGAAACGTCAGCTGGTTTACCTCCTCTCAACGGTTTCACATTAATCATGTCCTCGATGCTGAACCCTGTCACGTAATAAAGTGAAACGTTAGAGTCATGAAAACTTGTAATAACTTTACCTTTCTATAATATTCTTACTTACTCTGGTTATAATCTGGTAATAAGTACAAAATAAATAAATAAATAAAGAGTTACTTTTATAAATCATCTTTAACCTGAGATTAAACTTAAGCAGGTAAGGTTTTCTGGCTAGCTTGAACACCTGCCCGATAGTTAGCCAAGTGGAAACGCTAGCTTAGTTTTAGGCTAACCTAAATAAAGACTTATTTAGGCTAATATGAGAGCCTTTAATGTTTAAATTAAGATGATGGTAGAATATTTCACAAAGAAGTTATACTTAAGGGGTAAAATACTGAACATTTACTTTAAAACCTTTGGCAAATATGAAACCAACGGTTGTTTAGCTTTTTTTTTCAGGTTATTTTTTTAGATCAGTGTAAATTTCTCTCTCCAGCTTAATGTACATCGCTTTACCTTCGAAATCACTCATCTCTATCCTGACACCACCTTGTTTTCTTTAACTAACCACAAGAGCAACTGACAGCTTAACTGACGCGCTAAGTTTCTCCTCCTTGCTCCTCATTGGTGGGGCGGCAGCACGAGCAGCAGTACTGACGGGCGCGTGCACAGCACTGCATGATATTTAGCCCTTTTGCTTATTTATAGCGTAAAACTTAATATTACAATAAATAAATCACAGCTGAAAAACAGGGTGGTATGTGCTTTACCTGGTAATTACAGTTTCACTATAAATGTTTTTAATTAGCATAAAGCAGGAGCAAGACAGGCTGTGCTGATGGAATTCATCTCTTTAATGTGATGCGGGAAACATATGTTCGTGTCCGAGTGCATAATTCATGTTTAAAATAATGTATTCAATTATGACTGTTGTAATTTTTTCAATACCCCCCCCTCCCCCCCAATGCAACTGTCTAAATAAACTGACCAAGAAGACTATTAAAGGGTGATTATAATATGTTATCATCATTATTATGTACATAATACACTTATTTTTAATAATTTTTATTATTTAAATTTTTGCTAAAATACTAAAAAAATGTCCTGAAATGTGATGTTTCTAGGATGTCAGGGTAGCACAAAGGTTTTTATTCATCAATTTTTTGAGTGAAGTTAACCAGAGCAATATGGAAGCTCGTTTCCATCACTGAAAAATGGATTTAATAAATTCAGTGACTAAACGAAAGGGTAAAAAAAAGAAAGAAGGAAAAAAGAAAGACCATTTCAGTAAAATTTGATTACTCAAAAATGTTTTCATTTTCTCACCATTTCCAGTACTAAGGCTCAGCTCTAATTTGTAAAGACTTTGTGATACCAACACTGAAATTTTAATATAACAAAATGTTTTTCCTTCCAAAAGGCAAATCGAATTTGGGGTTTATATTTTCCTCCCTTTAGTGGCAGAACCAGTCTTCCACAGAGCCAACCTACTGCACTGGCTGTGCTTTGTTTTTTTTTATTTAAAACAGAGAAGTGTTATTAATAAGGCCCAGAATTTTGTATTTCCTTTACATGATCATTTTATCACAACTGAAACACAAAAATCAACACACAGAGCTCAAACTTGTTAATCACTGTATCCATTTTAATGAAAAGCCAAACAGCTGTGTAGGGGGGTTTAGTTCAAGTTTGATTTGATGCAAATATACAATGCGAACAGACCTACAAAGCCCAAAACTTACTTTACCTATACACACCACTAAGGAGCTCTATATACAGACATGTTAGTTAAATACAAACACAGGAATTTTAAAAATAGTCTAATTGGGGTTCAATACACCAATGTGTCCCCAAAACAAGAACAGCTGTACTGTGTACATTTTTCACACATGCAGACGAGGAAAGGGTCATGCAAGGGGTGAAAAAAATCAAAACAAGTTAGAGAATAACAATATTGTTTCATTCAACTTCAATGTCCTTGCATGTACTTTGGCTTCCAGTGCATTAAGATTTATTCTGTGAGTTTCACTTTAAAAAACAAAAAAACAAAAACAAAACTGCAGTCAGTAAGTAATGGTTTCAAAATGCTATTGTGTGATGACGTTACAGTCTCCAAGTTTCCTCTAAACCTTGCGCCAAATTCAAAGAAACCCCAGTATCTACCACAAATTCAAAGTTTCATGTCTTTAAAGCCCAGCACCTGTCTACATTAGTTTTTAAACATGGACAAAAACTGCAAAACCAAAAATAATATTAGTTATCATGACAAAGAAACCCACACAAAGAGTAATTTTTAATTCACATTAATGACCCCCCCAAAAAAGGAGTAAATTAAAGAAACGGGGAAATTAAGAGAACATTTCAGGTTTAGAACAAGAAAAAAGAAAAATCCTAATTTTGAAAAGATATTCTGTAATAATACAATAATTTATGTTCATTTATGTTACACATCCAACAACAAGCTTCATTCTTATGCCATTCAAAACAGCTTTTACTCGTTGCTGGACACATCCATATAAATTACTCCAGCACATCTTTCAGAGGTAGGGGGGATACTGGCATCATATACAGTAAAACACATTAACTATTTACAGCTGTGACAAGCAAGCTAGAGGCATTCCTCTTATAGTTGTAGATAACCATACCATGTCTTTAGTTGTGTTTCCAGTTTGCCATGCAGAGTTACTTTACACCAGCAGGCTGAAAGGGAGAGACAAAGTTTGTGAAAACAGACAGTCGAAGGAAGATGGCATTTCTAACACTAACTTCTCTTTAGGCAAAGCTGGTTTCATCTGTGTGTCGGCATAATCATTCCTGCTCTTTTTCTATTCAACTTCTGCAGCAGAGCCTGAATGTTTAATTCTGCCATACGAGAAGTCGAGGTGTAGGTATAGACATAGCCATCTGTGTTAATAGAAGCAGAGGACAGTTAGAGCAAGCACAATGGTCAAAGGTGAGGACAGATGATTATGCTCTGTCATTAATTGCAATATTTTTATTCCACTAAATAAATAGTGCCCCTCTCAGCTGACTGTCAAGACCAGCTGCATCATCTCCTCAGCACCTACTACCTCTTAAAAATAGAACTCTGTGTGATGGGAGAGGAAACAAAAGGGGATCAAATAAAGTAATGAAGTCAACGAGAAGGGGCATTTTAGCAACATTTCAAAATAAAGGGAGGCGTTCCTCATCTCCCAGCTGTTCTCCTCTAGGTGCTGCCTCACTCGCGGGAGCGTCCCACGATTGCCAAGATGTAGAGGAAAATGTTGATGATGTCAGTGTAGAGGTTAAGTGCAGCAAAAATGTATTCCTCTGGACTCAGGGCCAGCTTCTTGTTTCCCAGGAGAAGCTGAGTATCAACAGCCAAAAACTGCACAGACAAAAGATGGAATTAGTACACTTTGTATACAATCTATTTGGTCGTCAACTGTTACTTCACATACTGTGGCCATACACTGATAAGGCATTGCATTGTGACCACCTGCCTAATATTATATTGAACCCCTTTGTGTGGCGATATCTGGCACCAAGATGTTAGCAACAGATCCTGTGAGGTGGGGCCTCACATCCCACACACGCTTGATTGGATTGAGATCTGGGCGATTTGGAAGCCAAGTCAAACTCGTTGTTGTTCTCCTCAAACTTTTGCTAAACCGTTTTTGTTTTGTGGCAGGGTACATTATTGTGCCAAAAGAGGCCCCCACCATCAGGCAATACCGCTTCCATGAAAGGGTGTCAATGGTCTGCAACATTACTGAGGAAGGTGTTATGTGTCAAAGTAACATCCACATCAATGGCAGGACCCAAAGGTTCTCAGCAGAACATTGCCCAAGGCATCACATCGCCTCCACCTGCCAGGTAAGTGGCGCACATGCACCCGGCCATCCACACGAGGTCAAAGAAAACACAATTCATCAGACCAGGGCAGTTCTGATGCATGTGCGCCCTGACTGATCAGTGGCTACGCAGCCCTATATGCAACAAACTGCGATGCTCTGTGTATTCTGACACCTTTCTGTCAGAACCAGCATCAACTTTTTCAGCTGTTTGAGTTACAGTAGCTCGTCTGTGGGATCGAACCACACGAGCCAAGCTTTGTTCCACATGTACATCAATGACCCTGTCACTGGATCAACACCATTTCTTCATTGGACTGTTTTTGATACAGTGACTACTGTGGACCGGGAACACGCCACAAGAGCTGCAGCATTGGAGATGCTGTGAAACAGCTGTCTAGCCATCACAATTTGTTCCTCGTCAAACTTGGTCAAATCCTTACAATTGCTGATTTTTCCTGCTTTTAATGCATCAACTTTGAAGAGATTAACATTCCCTTGTTCCCTAATATATCCCACCCAATAACAGGTGCCATGACGAAGAGTTAGTTAGTGTTACTCATTTCACCTGTCTATGGTCATTATGTTATGCCTCATCAGTGTATGCTACCTTAAACTGCCATTTGCACAGTGAACATGATAATGTAAGGTATATCATTTTGCTTTAGTTAATACTGTCATATATATTTAAAAGTGACCTCAGTTTTGTAAAAGTTTACTTTGTAACCCTTGCAAGCCAAATATTTCTCACCATTTAGCAGGGCACAAGAAATGCAAAAAGCTGACAGATAAACCACCTGGATGCGTAACAATCCTTCAAACTCACAAGTATTTGTTTTTCCTTTTTTTTGTATATAGAAGACAAGATATATGTGCGGCACTTACGCAAGTGAAGAGTAGCGCTCCCAGTGAGGCATAGACGATGTGCAGGATCTTGTGGCGGATGAAGATGCACAGGATGGAG